ATTCTTAATATAAGATCTCGTTTGACTTTTATTTTGGTCCTAAATATAAGACTCCAATCTACTTTATTTATCATATTTATATATTTTTTTCAAGACAATCCTTCTAATAATAGTAGTTTTAGCCAATAAACTTGATTAGCAAAGATATTTTAGAAAAGACAATACATATTTATTACAAATAACTAACTTAACTTATTTTTTTAATCTACTCAAATAAATCAATTAGATCTTATATCTAGGACTGCAGGTAGTAATAGCTAAGGGATGTTACAGTGGCAGTGACAACGGACAGATGGTGGTAACGATATAGAGTTGACAATGTATTAACAAATTATTTTAAAAAGAAACTTTAATTACATGATTTATTAAGTTATTATTATGGCTTGTCCTGCTTCTCTTGGCCGGATGGAGTTATATGGTGACTACAATGTGAATATTTCTTTCTTTTTAAGTTCATGTGAACTCCCATGTAATTCTGTTAGACCCAAAAAAAAAAAAAAAACAGAACTCGCATAAAATTCTAAACCGTTAGTGCTTATTCATCTAATTTTTTTGGGGGGAAAAAAAGAATATGTGCAAACAGTGAAAAGGGAAAAAAAAAAACCTTGTGATGCTACCAAGGAAACGACCGTTAATGGGATACAGGAAATATCAGTATATAATGTGGAATTTATGACAGAATAAAATATTTATAAATCACAATTATATATAATGAATTATCTAAAGAAAAAGTCGGTATTTAATTCCCCTGCATCTAACTAAAGTAACAATGAGTCTCGCTAGATCACATTCTTACCATGATAATTGACTCGTTCACATGAACTATCATCATTTGTTGTTGGCAGTGGACTAGTGGGGATGGTGGTTGTAGTGGCAACACCAAAAATCAAATTATTGCACATTAAAGAAATAATTAATACTAACTCCGCTCCAAAATATAAAAACTAATTAACTAATTTGAGTAGATTAAGAAAGTTTTTAAGTTAGTTATTTGTAATAAATAGATGTTATTTTCTCTAAAATATTCTTGGTACTCATATGTATTAGCTAAAACTACGGTTTGATAGAACTTTTAACATGTGAAACTGCTAAGTATTACTTTGAAAAAAATAAATAAATATGAGAGACAAAATGGATTGTAGTCTTATATTTATGATCAAATTAAAATTTAAATTAGCTCTTATATTTATATTGCATTTACATTCTACCCGTGGTCTTTCCCAAGCCCCAAAAAGCACAATCCATTAAGGTCAACAGAACCAAGCACTATCCATTCACTATTATGATTGGTGAAAGTTATAATCATTAATTTGCTGATTTGCATCAATCAGCAAAATTATGGAATAAAAATATCAGGGTTCTTCAAAGTTCAAACCTTGATGAGATTCCTATATACACAAGCGTAATTAGATAACGATGAGAGCCCAAAATCCTATCCGAACAGAAGTACTGTCAGAGTTAGCTAGATTCTTTTTTTTTTTTTTTGGTTTCCAAAACGGTGCAATCAAAATCCTTGAATAATGAAAACCAGTTATTTTTATCTTGAGCCTTCTATATATTCACGTGCTTCTGGCTTTCATTATTTGCACTGGAATATTATTAACAGTAATTCTCTGTGACCCATTTCACCATGTCTAAACCATCGTTGGCTTTCTGCATTCTTCTGGGGCTTGTGTTTCTTTTCGGAGTTGATGCAGAAAGTGGCAAGGTGGGAATTTATGAGCTGAGGAGAGGACAGTTCCAGATCAAGTTAACAAACTATGGCGCTACAATTATGTCTTTAATGGTCCCTGATAGGCATGGTTTGTCTTACATATATAGCTTCGTCCTCGCTCCTCTTTCCATTTTTATGATAAAGATTATGTTTTGGTTTGTCGTATAATCTTCAAATGTTTTCTGTTGCGTTTGTTTCTCCAGGAAAATTGGCCGATATTGTCCTTGGCTTTGATTCAGTTGACTCGTACAAGGTATGATGAATGGGAGGGAAGATTGGGTTCAGTTTTGTCTGTGTCGAGCTTTTGAAATGGAGGGGCTTTTTAGAACATATATATTGAGATTCAGAAGGATTGTTTTCTTGGGGTTGGTTGTATGTCCTTCACTGATTTTTCTCTTCTTGTCTTTTATTTCTCTTATTTTTTATTTTTTTGGCTTTAACTAGAATTAAAACTATTCATCTTTAGGCCGATCGACCTCTGTTAGTATCAAACTTTTGCAGTCAAATTTTACTCTCTTTTAATAGGTCAATTTAGCTCCATAGTAGATCGAATAATTTTGGTAAGAGAGTTGAAAAGAAATGAATTTTTCACCACCAACTAAAGTTATTTTGATTGATGACATGGATGTGAATGTAACTTTAGTATAAGAAATGAATTTTTCACCACCAACTACTACCTTAGTAGTTATACTAAAGTTACATTCACATCCATGTCAATCAAAATAACTTTATATTTAATTTGTGGTTTAATTTGATATGTTGCAGAATGATACAGTATACTTTGGTGCCCTTATTGGACGTGTGGCTAATAGAATTGGAGGAGCTCACTTTACTTTAAATGGCAAAACCTACCGTTTGCCTGCAAATGATGGAAACAACACTCTTCACGGTATATGCTAAGCATTTAATTCCAACCAAGTTGTTATTTTTAACCCACCATCTAATATAACTTTGTTCCATGTTGACTTAATATTAGGTGGTCCCAAAGGTTTCAGCGAAGTTATATGGAATGTAACTTCCCACAAAGTAGACAGTCACATCACATTTACCTATGTCAGTTCTGACAAAGAACAAGGTACTTTCATTCTTGGTTTACATGTAACAAAAAAAAAGTATTTGTCTGTCTCTCTGTGACAATATTTACAATTTCTAGGGTTTCCGGGAAAACTTAAGGTTGTTGTTACATACATGTTCTTTCAAACCAACAAGTTGATAGTGAAGATGAAAGCAAAGCCCATTGACAAAGCCACACCAGTGAATCTAGCTCAGCACAGTTACTGGAACTTGAGGGGCCATGACAGTGGAGACATTCTCTCACACACAATTCAGCTATTTGGTTCACAAATCACACCTGTCAATGAGGAACTCATTCCTACAGGTGAGATCAAGCCAGTGAAGGGAACCCCATATGACTTCCTTAAACCTAAAGAAATTGCAAGTCAAATTCATAAACTGCCTAATGGCTATGACATAAACTACGTGGTGGACGAGAATGGGAATAATTCCAAGCACTTCCGTAGAGTGGCTGTGGTAAAGGACTCAGTCTCTGGGAGGAAGATGGAACTATGGTCAAACCAACCTGGGGTACAATTCTATACCGGTAACATGTTGAAAGATGTGAAAGGCAAAGGTGGATTCATATATCACCGGTTTGGTGCTCTTTGCTTGGAAACACAAGGTTTTCCAGATTCTGTGAATCATCCAAATTTCCCATCACAAATTGTGTATCCTGGTCAGATATATAAGCACTTCATGGTTTACAGATTCACTGCTGAGTAGAACATAACTTATCTTAGTCCTCTACTTTTAGTTTGAAGGACACAAATGTTACTGATCTGTCGCAATTCTTTGTATGTGTGGTCTACTTCTGCACAAGGTCGCCTAAGATGTGTTACTTTCATTGTTCGCTATGTCTGTGCATGTGAGATGTGATTAACAGTTACGATCAAGAGGCTTTTTTAGCTGTTGAAATTAATCGACGTCAATTTCGCGTATTTGCTTTTTTTTGGGGCCTGGTGAATATGAGCAAATTTAATTTATAGATACTTTAATGTTCTTGAAATTTTGGTTAAACAGAAATTTAATGAAGAAGGAATATATACAAGAGCAGTGTTAATTGTTATCTATAAGCTTGTGGATGGCAGAGACTTAGCGTATGTATCGTGCTTATACCGAGAAAGACATTATCATTGGTATGTTATATCCTATTTAGATTTGAATAATTGTTTTATTCATAATCACAAAAAATACGAACGAAAAATTTAATTAATCAGTCTTAAATACATTTACGATATAATGATAATGATATCATTCGAAGTATCCAATCAATATATATAAAGCAATCAATTAACACCGTTAGAAATTTAGGATACATCCATCTTGATAAGAATTGAATATCCAACTATTTGTCTAAACTTTTAAAAATAATTAGAATCTAAAAAAATCGATTTCTAATTATTTTGATAAGTTATTCTGAACAGCTTTTAAAATAATCACATCAGATGATAAGAATACAAAGATATAAGGTGATGTAAATATATTGTTGGTATAAAAATTAATAAACAACAATTTAAATTTAAATAAGTCAAATAGAGTATAAGTAGATTAGATACTAAGATATGCTAAATAAATTTTTTAATCAATCAACTAGGATCATAATTAATTTTATTTTAGAAATAAAAATATGATGAAATGCAAATTTAAAGTAAATACTTTGTCCTTATTATAAGACCTAATTTGACTTTTTATTGGTCCTAATTATAACCCAATCCATTTTCTCTCTTATATTTATGTATTTTTTTCCAAGATAATCCTTCTAATAATGATAGTTTTTAGTCAATATACTTAATTAGCAAAGATATTTTAGAAATAACAACACTTATTTATTATAAATAACCAACTTAACTTATTAATCTCCTCAAATAAGTCAATTGGGTCTTATAATTAGGACCGGAGGAGTACAATGTTTTCTAATATTAAAAGTACATGAATTAATAAAGAAAAATATATGTTTTTTTATACAGAAGGAAGAAAAAATATACGTTTATCTATCATGGTTTATATAGATGATATTGATTGATTCTTATAGTACCAGAGAAAGCCTATCCTAACCGAATAATCTTACAATTATGAAGGGGATATTCATCAAAAATATCTGTTAGATCTTTAAGCATTATTGCTTACGGCTCTTGTATCTATATAAATGAGATGAGGTTTTATTCTTTTTGCTGTGACATAGAGTCCTCTGAGCTTAGCTTTATTTCTTTCGTTTTCTTCTAAAATAACAATGTCTAAGGCTTCACTTCTCTGTTGCGTTTTCCTGGGCCTTGTGCTCTCCTCTCTTGCTCATGCAGAGCAACCCAAGATTGGAACTTATTTCCTCGAGAGAGGAAATTTCCAAGTCAAGTTGACTAACTTTGGTGCAACTATTATGTCTTTTATTGTACCAGATAAAGATGGTTTGTTTTCTGTTCTTGTTTATATTAATTCTCTTTCATTGTTGTTGTTGTATTCTTAAAACTCTTTTTGTTGTGTTTCTTTCTTCAGGAAACTTAGCTGATATTGTCCTTGGCTACGATTCTGTTAAGGATTACAATGTATGACTGAACTATTTCTTTTGAATCTATTTTGTTTGTTTGGCTTTTGGACACTAACAAAAGAAGCAAATCGTTTATCTATGCATGCAATCGTAGTAGATCAAAATTTTACTGAGAATTTTGTGACCAATGTTGCAGAACGATACAACATATTTTGGTGCACTTGTTGGACGAGTGGCCAATAGAATTGGAGGAGCTAAATTCTCTTTGGATGGAAAAACCTACCATTTGCCTGCTAATGATGGAAATAACACACTCCACGGTATATTAATCATAATCATCATCTATCCTCTCATTATATAACTATAACATATCATATTAATAATTTCACTATCTCTGACTTCCATGAATGAAATATCAGGAGGACCTAAGGGTTACAGTCAAGTTGTATGGAATGTAGCATCCCACAGAGAAGACAGTCATATCACATTTACCCATTTCAGTCCCGACGGCGATGAAGGTACTTTTTATCCTAACCAGTTTGATTATTTGATCTAAACACCTCAGTTTTTTGTGATTATAACTTTGATATTGAACTTTTAACCCTCATCTTTAGGCTTTCCGGGAAAACTTGAGGTTTCTGTGACTTATGCTTTTTTCCAAACAAACAAATTCATTGTAATGATGCAAGCCAAGCCCATTGACAAAGCCACACCAGTGAATCTTGCTCAACATACTTACTGGAACCTGAGGGGCCATAATAGTGGAGACATTCTCTCACATACCATTCAACTATTTGGTTCAAAAATCACACCAGTAAACGACCAACTCATCCCCACAGGTCACTTCAAGGAAGTTAAGGGAACCCCATATGACTTCCTTGAACCTAAAGAGATTGGCAGTCAGATTCATGATCTCCCTGAGGGCTATGACATAAACTATGTGCTTGACAAGAATGAGTCAAAGCATTTCAATAGAGTGGCTGTGGTGAAGGACTCGGTTTCTGGGAGGAAGATGGAACTATGGTCAAACAAACCTGGTGTACAGTTTTATTCTAGCAATATGTTGAAGAATGAGAAAGGTAAGGATGGAGCTATTTACCGCAAGTATGCTGCTATTGCGTTGGAGACACAGGGCTTTCCAGATTCGGTGAACCTCCCAAATTTCCCATCACAGATTGTTAAACCAGGAGAGATATACAAGCACTTCATGGTTTACAGATTCACTGCTGAGTAGATGATCATGTTATTAGAAATTTTTTTGTTCGGTTTATTTTGGTATTAAGTAGTTGGATTATAATTCTTTTTAGGTCTTGTAGTTTAGGATTTTTTCCCCCATTTTCTTTGCTTACGTTTCCCCGTAATTAGGATTATGCAAATATATGCATACCATCCCCTTCTTTTTATTTGGTAGTACAAAATATGAATATGTACTATCTGAATACTTATTTCAGATTGATTAATTATTTTTCCTAGAAAAATACCATATATGAATGTAATTATTTTATATTTTTAATTATTAGTTATATAACATTTATAAGTATAATATGTATTAATTATAACTATATAATTAAAACAAATATAAAATTATTAAGATATAATTATGATACATATAATTATATTTAGTAATATCTAATTACTCGTGTTCATATATAATATATAATAGATAGTATTTGAGTATCATGCATATTTCTGTTATTTGCAGAGATACAAATGTATCTACTCCTAAACTGGCTCTGATTTAATGTCTTTGGAAATTGTGCTGATATGTATGACTTTTTAACTTAATATTTTGAAATTAAAATCGAATTACCTAAACTTTTATTCCCAATATTTAATTTTTGAAAAGGAAAATATAAAATTTTTTAAGATTTAACTTAATTTTTCCAAAAAAGTTTTAAGTTATTAACACGTTTTAAAATTATTCACAAGATTCATTTTCTTATCGAAGTGGATGTTCAAAACACGAAAATAATAAATTAATGAAGCACCAACAGAGAACCGCTTTTACTAATCTTTGATTAATCTTCCCCATTTGTTTAATTTCGTGAATAAGTTCTTTGTGTGTATTTCACCATCATTTTTTTTTTGGTGAATATTTCACCATCAATTTTAATATTTATGTTTTGTCTTTCCTCTGTTTCCCTGTTGTGCACCTGGTCACCAAATTGAAATCACGGGACATTAGTATTCGTACTATCACAAGCAATAGCAAAACGTTCTTTTCACATCGCCGTACAAAGCTCAGATACAGATACGCAGCCATTACTGCAATGAAAAGTAGTATTTGAATGCTTCTTTTAGGTTCATCAATTTTAACATCCTTGAGCTTTCAAGATGACAAGATGCTTCATCTTTTACTATGCTCGCCTGTGTGTGTATGTTAAGTTGAGCCATATATCTTATTGTTTCTGTATTATTTAAATTCATGTTGAGAAACAAGTTTAATTTTTAAACGGTTAAATTAAGTGTTTGTGCTCTCTCAGCTGTAAACTATTCATAAAACAAGATGCACAATGTATGATGATCGGATATTATATTTTTAATCTCAATATCTTACAGGGGATGCCAAGGGGGATCTCGTAGTGGTCTCACTTAAGAGAACGGAGATAGACACTGTCTCTGTTGAATGATGATTATGTCTCAAAGAGGATGTGTCTTTATGACCTCGCTCTACCACAGGGCTTGAGGAGGGGCTCCTTTCTGCGATAGATCTAGATGATGAACTCGCTGAAGTTCTGCCAAGTTGAAGCTGTTCTAGAGTGGCCAGAACTTCAGACATCTGGGGTCTGATTTTGGCCTCACTAATGCACTGTAAAGCAAGAATTGCAGCTGTATAGGCTGCCCTCTGTGGATATTGCCCTTCTAACTTGGTGTCCATAATCCGGAATAACTTCCTCCTATCACCCAAATAAGGTCTTGCCCAATCTACCAGATTCTGTTCAACTCCGGATTTCGTTCGATCAATGGCACGCCGTCCTGATAGTAATTCCAATAGCACAACCCCAAAGCTATAGACATCACACTTTGCAGTCAACCAACCTGCTCATAATTTAGAGATCAATGATAGTAAGCCATTCCATATAAAAAGCAGGGGACAATTCAGGTCAGAATCCAGGCTACATTAGGCTTCTGGAACAAACAGTTCTAAAGGAATCTTGATATTAAGCACACATCAATCTTAAGGATTGAAGTGGCCGTCATATACTGGGAAACATGCAAAGAAGTTCAATTTTTGCTTGTTTCCAATTCAAGCCTTAAAGAATTTTCCATTCATCCCCATGTCAACAAGTATCTTGGGGTGACATGCATGCAAAACACTGGCTTGGTTTCAAATATTTATAACAAGAACCAAAGGAATTCGAAAGAAATGCAAGTGAGGAAGGCGATTGAATCATACATGTTCATGGACCAAAGAAGTATGCGAGTAAAACTGACTGAGAAACCAGACCTGTGAGAATATATTCAGGAGCAGCATAACCATGAGTACCAAGGACTTGAGTGGAAACATGAGTACGGTCGCCGGTGGGCCCTGCTTTGGCAAAGCCAAAGTCTGAGAGCTTTGCATTAAATTCCTGCGTTTGTAGAAAATTGACATTAAATTATTACTTTCATAGAGGCCTACATATCATTCAATCAGCCATTTAGAGAGGACAGGGGACGCAAAGATAAGGATGCATTTTGATTAAGCCCACAAAGGGTAAATTATAAAGGGGGAACTAGTTTAAGCCACGAGGAAGACCACTTTAACCTTTGTGGCCCATACTTATACATCTTGATTTTTCTTTTGATCATTATCTTTCCTGATCTGTAGAGGAGGCTTACAATCCACTTGTAAATTTATATGCATTTTTCCACCGGGCGCCACAATAGCAACGTGACTGCTTAAACAACATACCGAATCTAATAAGATGTTAGAAGCCTTGAAGTCACGATAGATAACTTGTTGTTCGGAGTCATGGAGGAAGGTAAGGCCTCGAGCAGCACCAATAGCGACTTTGATCCTTGTTGCCCAAGGAAGTGGTTGTGCCGCCCCTGCAATTTACGGTTCCAGAGTCGATTATAGCACACTTTCTGTGGCATTGTTTGAACCAGACACATGGCAATGGTCAAATATTTTGGTGGTTTGGTTTATAAGGTGTAAACTAAGTTACTTCCAGGCTAAGAGTATTATTGATTCTTTGAAAGCTATGCTGCTAGCTAAAGTGATCAACATACTGCGAAATAGATGATTCTCCAGGCTGCCTTTGGGCATGTACTCGTATACCAGAAGCCGACTATCCCCATCAAGGCAGAATCCCAGAAGTTTGACAAGATTTGGATGATGAAGTTGACCAAGATAATTGAGTTCAGACTGTAAATAAAAGAAAAATAATCCATGATGAGCACTGATCTACTTGAAAAAAAAAAAAAAAAAAGCAGCAACATTAAGCAAAGGAATCGACCAGCCACTCCTTATGGCCTTGAAAACCATTTGACTTAAGATTCTTTACAGCGACAGCCATTCCGGATCCAGGCATTGCAGGTCCAAGAGATTGTTCATCAATCCACCCCTTATAGACATTACCGAATCCTCCTTCTCCTAGTAGATTATCAGGACAAAAGTTTCTAGTAATATCCTTAAGCTCATTGAATGTGAAGGCTTTCAAATGTGGGGAGGATAGTATGACACCTTCCAATCTTGGAGTGGGGAGTGTCTGAGGCTTAGCTTTATCACTGTATCCTTTCACTGGACTTGAATGAGCAAATGAATGGTTGCTTCTACTAGAAACATGTGTAGTACCTGCAAAAAATTTTGATTTTAATGAAAAGAAAATTCATTAGAGGGAGAGAGACACCATAAAGGAAAAAGCCATCCTCTTGAGATAAATTAAGCTAAAGCCCCCTGTGGATTAAGCATCAAAGAATAATTTTTTTAAAAAAAAAGCACGATTATGTTTCCAACAACCTGTGCGATCAAAATATAAGTAGCAGTTACCAACTTATCAAACAAATCCTCAAAAGCAAAAAAAAAAAAAAAAGGAGGGAGGAGGAGGAGGAGGGCACAATAAGTTCTAATGACTTCATGCAGTGGCGGAGAAAATAAAAACAAATACTATAAAAATGGTAAAAAAAAAATGTACAGTAAGCATAATCATCAATAGGACAAATGCAAAAAAGAACAAGTACAGTTATCGAAACTGCCACAACTGACATCACAAGACAACAAACTGGAAATGGCTATATTTCAACACAGTTAATCATTATATACATGAATTTGGAAAGTAAATACATAAAGGCAATTTGCTACCAACCAGCTAGAAAGTAAAAGCAATGTATGAAACAATCTGAATAAAATATTAAGCACTCCCAATCTGATAGGATTCACAGCCATTTGAGACACACACACACACACACACACACTCAACAAGAAGAACCCTCATAATCTGCAGGGTGGAAAACTAGTTTAACAAAATTAAAAGAAAATCATATTACTTCCTGCTTAACAAACAATGACAGCTTCAAAGAAGGCAAATAGGTTTATTAGAATGACAAAACGAAGCGCAAAAGAAAGCAGCGAGGGACTATAATAATGGCGTACCGGAAATAGGGTGAGAGGGGAGAGTATCATCAACCTTGGGACGCTGCCGAAAGCAGTTTCCCATAAGAGGAAAGTAACCTCTTGAGAAAACGTTTCGGCCTTTGTGAGAATGTCCAGATTAATTCCTAATCATCTGATTCTCCTGCATCATTCATACCCTTCTCATTTCAGAGAAGAGCGTGAAGAAGACAGCGAGAATGGGATTTATAGTTTTGCATCGTCGTTATATAGCAAACCAGAAAATTTTGAAAATTACAGATCAGGACGCATAAATGGAGAATCATGTTTCAATGATCCCAACTCAAAACAAACCACCAAGAACCTTTTTATAAATTGTTGTGTCAATTTTAATATTGCCAACGTCATTATAAAAATATAAAAAAGGTTATAAATTAAGAGTTATCTTACTGGTGCATAGAATTTACTTTAATTTTCATTTATTATTACAGCAAGTACAATGCAAATAAGGCGAGTCTTATTTGTTTTTAATTTATTTGCTATACTATGCTTGGTCAAAAAAATTTATCCTTTCTCTCATTGAAGACCTTTTTTTTTCCTTTTTTTTTTTTTGGAGTAAACAAAGAAACGACTTTTTCTTTATCCCATTTCAGACGTTTTAAAATCTTGCCAAATTTTTTCTTTCTATTTTATATTTATACCCACGCGTTTTGTTTTTTGATAAAGAAAATCACATTCTGTTGTCTCAGTTGATTTTTCTTTCAACAAGTATTGTTAAACAATAAAGAAAACATTATAGGATTTGTGACCAAAGAATAAATAGAACATATTTTCCCCTCTTGGTTTTTTTGAGCCAACGAGCTCTTTTTTTTTTTTTTTTGGGGAGAAAATCACATTCTATTGTCTTAATCCAAGTAAAAGACAGTTTTGATCTTCAATGAGGAGCTAGTATGTAAGTACACAGATTCATATATATAATAAATTTATGCTCTCGATTTTGAGTGCACTGCATGTATTCGATTACATGTTACTATAATTAATGATTATGTCAGTTGAGATTCCAAAAAATGTTGTTTATTATCCGTTTATATAAATGTTGTTTATTATCTCTCCTCTAACTATACATCGTTCTCGTTTTTAGGTCGGCACGTGGGCTTGTGAGCAATCTCACAAAACAAATAATTCACAAACTATTAAAATTAAAATGATTGTATTCATATTTAACAATAGGAAAAACGTTAAATCAAATTTGAAAGACATCTGTAATTCGCAGCCTCAAAAACTATTACTTTCATAAAGGCCTACATATCATTCAACAATGTGTGTGTGTGTGTGTATCACGTATGTTATTAGAGTTTAGAATGAAGAAAGTTAAAAATAACCGTAGACAAAGAAGATATTAATTGTCCGTGATTAAACAGTTATGTGGTTTGTAACATATTATGATATTAATGATACCTTTCAAATTAAAAGAAAGAGAGATAGATCAGAGGAGGGTTTGGAAAAAGAAGTTATGATTGATGATGCTTACGTATCTAGTACACAAACCCTAGCTAGCTAGCAGTAGTACAAAACTGCAAGAAAAACGGACTCAATTTAAGGAGAAGAAAACAGGGGGGACTACGTAGTAGGAACTCTCCTCATAATTAAGTGAAATTAAGAGGTGCTAAATTAAATAACTAAGAAAATAGATTAAGAAGAAGAAGAGTCTATTGCATAAGTAGGTTTCTAATAATGGCAGCTTGTGCGGTATCAGTTGTGGCCAAGAGCTCAGATAAGCGTTCACTTAGATCGTCCACTTCCCTGTGTAAGCTTCTTATGTAGTTACATGTCTCCTGCAACACCTTCGCTGCTGAAACCTGCATTCTCACAACATTCAACATCCACCTTATTAATAATATATATTATCTAACTAATTATCATAACAATAACCAAGTCCATGATTAGAATCTATAAGATCGACAAATAAACGTGGGGTTTTTCTCCAATTCATCATGATTTTTCTGCCTTTAAGTTCTCATTCTTCTTGACAATCAAGTTTCTCAAGATGGACATTCATGATCTGTCACTAAAATTACTCTGTAAACATTGTTTTCTTGAAGTAATTTTATGTTCTTTTTATATATTACATCATCCTAATTAAGGTCTAAGGATAGCCGACTGCCGCAATGATATATAATTCAACGCGTTACATAACAGAAGGCAATTTCATTTTTTCTTGTGTTGAATAAGATCTTAGTAATGACCGATCGGAATGCAAGAACAAGGAAGTCAGAAAAAAGAGAGAGGGGTTTCCAAGATATTAACTGATACAACATGTATAAATTAAACGTTCCGAGAAAAGATTCGTTTGCTTTTTTTAATTGAATTTTCTTTGAGAGGCGTTGAAGTTGAGGGTGTGGACCGGACTGATTAAGAGTTTTGCCGGTGTTTGCATAAAAAGGCTAAAATATGAAAACAATTACATGTTCACATAAAAATGAGGATAACTAATTGAAGGCAAAGGGAGAAAAAAAAAGTGGTGCACTGTGCCACAAGTACCAATAACAAATAGAGCATCACTTTAGAAAGTTAATCATTCATCAGTTGAAAGCCAAAGAGGAAGCTAGCAAGAAGGAAGCAGAAGAAGAAAGATGTGTTTGTATAAACCTTATCAGAACGCCTATCGCGAATCTCAGGAAGAAGCTGTTGCAACTTGGAAACAAGGTCATTGATCTGATCGTCGGTGATGTTCCTGGAGCCACTGGCTTGTCTGGACCTACTTGATCTTCTGCTAGACATCTTTTTTAATCAAGAGACACTACTACCGTGTAATATATAGCTAGCTACCAGTTAGCTGCTGAGAGAGAAGTGAAGTTATTTGTTTGGGTTATGGAAGAGAGAGAGAGAGTTTGTGCATGGAAGAAAGGAGAGAAGGTGGGGGTGTATTTAAAGAGGGCCGGGCTTAAGAGAGAGAAGAATCAGGGTTCTACCGTTCTAGAGATACGCCATATTCAGCTGGGAGTTTGGGACTCTCTTCCTTCCATGGCTTACAATACTTGTGTGAATGAGAAAAAGAGAGAGATCTGCTTTGTTCTTTTGGTTTTTTGAAACCCTCACTGCCCTTGTCAGTGTCTACACGCAGAACCATGTTATCTGTTGTCATTGTTATAATATTCCCTCCAATTTTATTCATAAACTTTGAATTTGAGAAGAAATGCAGTACATTTATATGTTTTAAATTTTTTTTCATGTTTTCTTTAATTATTATTGCCACATGTTTTTCTTATTGCATTTCCTTATTACACATCTTCTTTCATCTTTTTTTCATTTATTATGAAGATACATTTGAAAACAAAAACATATTCTTATTTATTTATTATTTTTAATCAATTTTAACTAACCATTATACACAAACGAGTTATTTAAATCACATAATAAGTACAAAATGGAGTATCACTTACTGGGTTTGGATCCTCTCAGAATCCATCTCCATCCTTTTCTTCTCAGAATCTCATCTCCACTATTAGATCAAATAATAGATAGTTCGGATTTAATATTTTAAAAAGTAGATGTTCATCTTCTCTCTTATTTATACGAGATTATAATAATAGTTTTATAAAGTATGAAATTTGAACCATTCATTATTTGATCTAATGGTGGGGATAGGATTCTAAGAAGAAAAGGAGAAACAAAGATACCGAGAATATCTCCTCTCATCTCTTACCACTATTTTTTTAATCTAATTTAATGGTCATTGCAGGGTGTATGCTTCCTCTGCACTCTTTACTCTCGTTTATCCCTTTATTTGCTCACACAACTACTATTATAAATTTATAATTAACCACAATACCACATCCAATTTTCTAAACCTATTGTAAATTAACAAAGATCTAAAAAAACAATTATATATGATATCCTTTAATTAAACAACCATCACCACGTATATGGTGATGTATTAATTCACATGATCTGATGTATAATCAGAGAGGTAGAAGCGTACGCCATCAACATCATATTCCTGGATTTGAGAGGCACACTGAGTATTAACTGGTTTATAGAATTCATGGGTGTAAAACTCTTTCATCACCACGTATATGGCTTTTATAAATATCTTCTATCATTATGTTTCAAATTAAATGTTGATTTTGGGAATGCTTTTATACAGCTTATCATTTTAAAATTTGGTTTCGTTTCAAATTATGGTTACTTTAGAATTTTTTTTATGCAGCATCTAAAATCCACTATAGTAGTAGTCTTAAATTTATGTATTGTCAAATCCCAGATTTAAATCCAAAATCTCATACTTAAAGAGTCAATTTTTTTTTTCCAACTAATGCCAGTACATGCTTTTATACTATTCTTCTTGAAGTCCAGGCACTTGCTTAGAAAGAAAAACAATATATAAAGACATCTTATATTTTGCTTTGATATGTAAGTTATTCAAAATCATCATTACCTTCAAAGTATTTAGTGAAGAAACATTGATATTAATATTGTTGCAACTCTACTGACATATATAAATCACTTTTTTATGTTTTAACTCGAGTAAAAAAATTGCAAGTTTGTCCCTTCATGGATATGATAAATATGTGAGCTAGTTTTTTTCCCCTAAAAAAGACAATAATCTTAATCTTAATATTAGTAATAAGAAAATTTAAAGAAAATAAAGTCGCAGGAAAGTGGTGGTGGGGGACAGGAAGATTAGGGTAACGTGATCGATAAAGTTGACCGGTCAAAGCAAAACACAGTCCATGTTACGTTTTGTTATTGCTCCAACCAAGAATACAGTGACCCGCGTGGCGTCTTAATTCATCCCATAATTAATTAATTAATTACCCTTTAAAAACAAAACACGAGAAAATCTGCACTCTATTTTTTGCCCAAAAATAGAAAAGAAAAGGAATATATATTACATCTGATCATCAAAGCCAGAGATCTACTACCTCCGGTCCTAATTATAAGAACCAGTTGACTAATTTGAGAAGATTAAAGAAATAAGTTGAGTTAGTTATTTGTCCTAAACAGGTGTTGTCTTTCCTAAAATATTCTTGTTAATCAAGTGTATTGACTAGAACTATCATTGTTAGAAGGGCTACTTTGAAAAAAAAAGTATAAATATGAGAG